GCGTTCCCGGCTGGCGCCGTGGTCCGGTCTCTGCCCGTTCCCGGCTGTCGGGAAGGAGCTGAGTTTTAGTGAGCTTTTGTGACATACCGGTGTCAGACTTCACATTTGTCCATAGCCTCGGGGGTCCCGTATAATTGGGTCTGGTCTGGGCCTTAAAATCTTTCTTTTTTTTCAGTTGTCTTTGATTCTTCCTCTATATCCAAATCATTTCTCCAGCTAATTAATTCGTCCTCGCTTTAACTTTATGAAGCAGAAAGAAGGTAGGCGTTCTCCCTCCTGTAGCAACTGTGGCTCCAGGCATCAGGAGTCGGTGCATTTTAGGTGAAGGACCAGATAGTAGATATTTTAGGTTTTGCTGGCTATACAGTCTCTATCACGACATGTCAGCTCTGCCATGGTAGCACAAATGCAGCCATAGACCACACATTAACAAATGGACGTGGCTGGTTGCTAATAAAACTTTATTTACAAAAACGGGGGGGCGGGGGCCATGCTGGTCCTGCCCCAGGGCAACACAGGAATTGGCTGGTGTCCCATTCCACTCTGCTCTTCTGTGATCACCTTCTTGCTCCCCAGTTGTGGTTGACTTTCTGTGGAAGAAGGAAACCTGCAAGAGCTCCTGAAGACTCACTTGGTTCCAATGTCTCTGCCCTCACAGAAGGCTCCCCTGATGCTCTTCAGAATCCCTGCTACATCGGCACTCATGGGTGTGACACCAACGCGGCCTGTCGCCCTGGTGCCAGGACACAGTTCACCTGCGAGTGCTCCATCGGATTCCGAGGAGACGGGCGGACCTGCTACGGTACAGCCTTTGATTCTTACTTGTTGGGGCTGGGAAATCAGGCGAGGAGGAGGCATCCAGATTCAGTAAGCCAGAGAACTGGGTGCAGCAAGGAAGCACGGATGAGATAAATACTGGTGGATATGCCAGGCCTGAATCATTTATGCTTCACATTCACTGTTCTCGTGGGTAGACTCAGGAGTACTGGCCCATTCTTTCATCTGATCTAAGCAGCAGAGTAGAATTCCTAAGGCCACACTCCACTCCATCTTTTTTTTTTTTTTTTTTTTTTTTTGAGATGGGAGTCTCGCTCTGCCGCCCAGGCTGGAGTGCGGTGGCGCGATCTCGCGATCTCGGCTCACTGCAAGCTCCACCTTCCGCGTTCACGCCATTCTCCTGCCTCAGCCTCCCGAGTAGCTGGGACTACAGGCGCCGCCACCACGCCCGGCTAATTTTTTTGTATTTTTAGTAGAGAAGGGGTTTCATTGTGTTAGCCAGGATGGTCTCGATCTCCTGACCTCGTGATCCGCCAGCCTCGGCCTCCCAAAGTGCTGGGGTTACAGGCGTGAGCCACCGCGCCCAGCACTCCACTCTATCTTAAGAATGCACAGTTTTAAAGGAAGTTGTAAGTCAGCTGTTAATGCTAACATCAGTAATATAACGATAGCTATAATTTACTCAGGTGCTGTTTGAACTAAGTGCTTCACAAACATCATCTAATTCTTCAACAACTCTAATGAAATTGATTTTTTGTTCCTTTATTTAAAAAAAGATTGTTTGATTGTGGTAAAATATACGTAACATAAAATATACCATTTTAACACTTTTTAAGTGTACAGTTCAGTAGCATTACATGCATTCGTTTTATTGTGTAACCATCACCACTGTCCATCTCCAGAATTCTCCATCTTGCAAAACGAACTCTGTACCCATTAAACAACAGCTCGCATTTCCCCCTTCCTTTAGTCCTTGGCAATCACCATTCTACTTCCTGTCTCTATGCATTTGATTATTCTAACGATTGCATATGTGGAATCATATTGTATTTGTTCTTCTGTGACTGGCTTATTTCACATAGCATAATGTCTTCAAGCCTCACCTGTGTTGTCACATATGTCAGAATTTTTTTCCTTTTTAAGATTAGATAATATTCCATTGCATGTACGTATTACGTTTTGTCTAGCTATCCATCAGTGGGCGCGTGGGTTGCTTCCGCCTTCCGGCTATTGCAAATAATGTTGTTATGAACGTGGGTGTGCAAATGTCTGTTGAAGTTCCTGCTTTCCGTTCTTTTGGGTATACATTCAAAAGTGGGATTGCTGAATCATGTGGTAATTCTATCTTTAATTTTTTTTTTTTTTTTGAGATGGAGTCTTGCTCTGTCGCTCAGGCTGGAGTGCAGTGGTGTGATCTTGGCTCACTGCAGCCTCTGCCTCCCAGGCTCAAGTGATTCTCCTGCCTCAGCCTCCCGAGTAGCTGGGGCTACAAGTGCTCGCCACCATGCCTGGCTAATTTTTGTATTTTTAGTAGATTCGGGGTTTCACCATGTTGGCCAGGCTGGTCTCGAACTCCTGACCTCAAGTGATCCGCCCTCCTCAGCCTCCCAAAGTGCTGGGATTACAGGCGTGAGCTGCCATGCCTAGCCTTTCCATCTTTAATTTTTTGAGGAACCACCACAACGTTTTCCATAGTGGCTGCAACATTTTATGTTCCCACCTACAGTGCACAAGTGTTTCCATTTCTCCATCTCCTTGAAAACGCTTGTTTTCTGTGCTTTTTAAAATAGGAGGCCAGGCGCAGTGGCTCACGCCTGTAATCCCAGCACTTTGGGTGGCCAAGGCGTACGGATCATGAGGTCAGGAGTTCAAGACCAGCCTGGCCAAGATGGTGAAACCCCGTCTCTACTAAAATGCAAAAATTAGCCAGGCGTGGTAGCGAGTGTCTGCAGTCCCAGCTACTTGGGAGGCTGAGGCAGGAGAATTGCTTGAGCCCGGGAGGCAGAGATTTCAGTGAGCGGAGATCACACCACTGCACTGCAGCCTGGGTGATAGTGAGACTCCGTCTCCAGAAAAAAAAAAAAAAAAAAAAATAGGGGCCATCCTAATGGGTGTGAGTTTCATTCTATTTATTTATTTATTTATTTTATTTTTATTGTTTTTGAGACAGGGTCTCACTCTGTTGCCCAGGCTGAAGTGCAGTGGCACGATCTTGGCTCACTCCAGCCTCAACCTCCTGGGCTCAGGTGATCCTCCCACCTCAGTCTCCCGAATAGCTGGGACTACAGGTGTGCCACCACGCCTGGCTAATTTTGTATTTTTTGTAGAGATGGGGTTTCTCCATGTTGCCCAGGCTGGTCTCAAACTCCTGGGTTCAAGTGATCCACTTGCCTTGGCCTCCCAACACTCTTTTCTTATAGACGAGAAAACTGAGGCTCATTAAAGTGAGCTGTGACAAATAGTATTTGAACACAAGTCTCTGACTCAAGCATCTGTATTACTCCATCTTCTAGTTGCAGTTATTTTATTATTTATAACTTAAGTTCAAATACTTTCATGTAGGCAGCTTGATATTTGTTTGTTACTAAATTTTAATCTACTGCCAAGGGGAAGTCAGTCCACTACCAAGGGCAAGAATGCCAAGTGCTTCAAGCAGTGCTATTTAAGCCTGCAATTAGTGACAGGGCTCACTAATGAGCATAAGGAACGCTAGAAGGAAGCTTCCCTAGTGGGATGAATAGTGTGTTCACATATGGTTGGCCAGAAAAATGAACAGTTCCCTCTACCCCTGCTTGACCGAGGTATAAGAATCTGGCAAACCCAGCAGTCTCAGAATTTGGGAATCATGCCTGAGGTCTGGAATCCAGCAGCTGCAGCTAATGGCAGATTTGGTGTGCTGATGTAACATGAAGGTTAGAAGATCCTGCTGTCAGGGCCTTGCGGTGTTTGCTTCATAGTGAACCTACCATGCAAGGTGCCTGTCAGGATGTCTGAAATACTGGAGGTCAGGAACTTGTGCGCATAGTACAGGCTGTATGTTTGGCCAGCTTGCTGATAGCTTTGTAAGTGGTAGAATTCAGTCTGAGACTCACCTTCCTGGTAATGTATCGCTAGGGAGGGGACATAGTGCCTACTCACCTACAATCGTCAGTTTCCCAGTATATCCTGCAAAGAGCCTGACAGCCTTGAATGGCTAAATTGGCTCTGGCCAGTTCAAAGCAGCATGATGCCGTGGTGTGTGTGTGTGTGTGTGTGAACAGGGGCCCTCCCAGGCTGCGAAGACAGTCGGTGTGCAGAGGTGGGGCTCCTTCACCAATCCACGCCTCCTCGTTACGCAGCCGTGCTTCAACTTCGTAAGCCTCCTGGATAGTAAAGTGTGGAAGTAACCCGGTCTGCTGCTGTTGAACTGTGACCTCCTGGCTAATTCTGCCCTTGGTGCCTGAGCTTGCCACAGTGGGAGTGCTTCACTTCAGAAGGCACAACCAGCCATCCCTTATGTAATCTGCACCATCCTAGAAAATCCTCTGATATCCTTGTCCAGGAAGACAGGTGGTTGCATGTAGACTTGCTTTTGTCCCGTGGTGAGTGTTCGTTCTGACTTATTACCTCTGTGGAATGCGAGCGTATTCCCAGTCAGGACACTTATTGTTCTGGGTCACTAGAACATGCCTTGAAGTGTTAATACATCGAGACATGAGGCTTAAAATAGGAAATTGCATTAAGCAGATCACTTCATGTGTTATTTTGACCTGGGAAGTGCGTTAGAGGAGAATGAGAATGAGCCTTTGTGATTCAGCGTGCAGCGCTGATATAATGGTGTATGACACCCCAAACAAGGGTGGTTTTGGTGAGACGTCGCACAGTGAACCTCCACAGTAATTTGGAGACGATTTCACAGAGCTCTGTGATTCTCTCTGGCCCACGGCAGGATGGCTCCCACTGTTTCTCAATTTAGAGCCTGTAGAGGTAGTTTTGGCTCATCTCCCATTGAGTAATCGTTGAGTATGTAGAAGGCATTTAGCAAATTGGCAATGAGACTCTTCTCCTGTAAGAGCCTGGCCTTTGTGAAAGGGAAAAATTGGAGAAACTTACAGTTGTTGAAAATATGTGAAAAGTAGCCACTCTGAAAAAAGTCAAAAAGGAGGCAGCAGTGACAAGAAGGATCCAGGATTTTCCTACTGAGTTAGAAAGTTATCCTGTGAAAGGAAATCTCTTTCCAGAGAAGAGGTTGACCAGATGCTAAATAATAGGAATCATCATTTTCCAGCAGATACTGTGGTATGTTATGAGAGACAGTTGACACTTTACAATTTCCACTGAAGAAAGGGTTGAGGACCTGGCTTCAATTTATAGAAAAGATTTTTTTTTTTTTGAGACAGAGTCTTGCTCTGTCACCCAGGCAGGAGTGCAATGACGCAATCTCGGCTCACTGCAACTTCCACCCGCTGGGTTCAAGCGATTCTCCTGCCTCAGCCTCCCAGGTAGCTGGGATTACAGGCACATGCCACCACGCCCGGCTAATGTTTGTATTTTTAGTGGAGATGGGGTTTTACCATGTTGATCAGGCTGGTCTCGAACTCCTGACCTCAGGTGGTCCGTCTGCTTCAGCCTCCCAGAGTGATGGGATTACAGGTATGAGCCACCTCGCCTGGCCCTAGAAGAGAAGATTTAAATTAGGAAGAATTTCCAAACTACGAAGACCATGAACTAATTTCCAAACTATGACGACCATGAGCTGGGAAATTGAATTGCTAGGGTCTTGTCCCTTAAGAAAGGGTGTTATCTAGTCCAGCATGTGTGTGTAAGCCTGCATGGAGGAGGAGGTTGTGTTAGGGAACCATCGCCTCCATCATCCCAGCAGTCCTGAGGTCTTATTTGTCGATAGCTTTTCAGGTAGGGCGAGAGAGAAGAGCCTGGTCAACATAGAAGCCTTTTTCAAAACACAGCTTCCCCTTGCATAAATGTTCCCAGTCAGGAACAGAGCTTGAAGAAGATCCCCTGTGATTTTGCTCTGTCTTCTTGATTGAAAACTGCTGCTCTGTGCTCTCGTGCTTTGGCAATAGAGTCTAAGTCACTGAGCCCTGCAATGTGTACAATGTTTCCAGACATCTGTGCTGGGAGTATCCTCTGAGAGTTGCAGCACAGAGGCAGTGGACACAGGAAGCCCCTTTTTTCTCCCGTGTTGGAGCGGCAGCTGATGGATGGAGCTGTGAAGTCCACACGTGCTGGTGCACTCCTCCCCCACGGCCATCCCCAGCTTCAGCTTGCGTAAGAGCCTGCTTTGGGAGGGGGTTTGTTCCAGAACCTTCTGGCTGTGCCTGGTTCAGTACTGAGACCTTGTGTCTTAAACACGTCACAGAACACACACGTATCAGTATAATCTCTAAAAGTTGAATAGCATTTGGTTTGGTTATTTGCCTGGGTACAGGACAAACTATGGGGCTGATGTGGCAAGAATGCTTGTCTTGTGCAATGTTGACCAATAGGCCAGCAGGACATTTCTCTCACCAACAAAGGCCTGGCTAGACTGGCCATTGAAGGTGGACATAGGAGGCTTTGACTCCCATGTGTCAAAGATTCACATGAAAGCATTGGGGAAGAGATTTATGAGTGGTGGAAGAGTTGTGTGGTCTCAGCCATTATGAGAAACATGTCTTATTTGTTTTAGGTCTAAAACATGTCTAAATTTGTTTTAGACTAAGAGCTGTGGCTCACGCCTGTAATCCCAGCACTTTGGGAGGCCCTCCTCATGCACATCTCAGGGTTTTAGAAATGCCAGAAGTAGCTGTCTACACTCTGAGTATGAGGTTGACAGGTTGACGTGGGAAGAACCTTGTGTAACTGTTCATTTCAGCCCCCATCAGTGGCCACGTAACCAGGGGGATGACAGGTTAGCTCAGTTTCTTGCCTGGGCTAACCAGCCTTACATGAGTGGTAGCCACAGCCTGGCACCCAAAGCCTGGCGGCCATCTGAGGGCCGTGTTCCCAGAGTCAGCTGAATTCATCACCATGGCTGGGGTGTTGGATGAATCCTTGGTTAGTATAATCATAGCTGGCTGTCTGGAGCATTGCTGGGGCCTCCATCTATTTTCTGTAATCTGCAGAAGATAAGTAGTATTATACTTATATAACCCTCAAGATAAGTAGTATTATACTTATTTACCAAAGGGGGAACTGAGGCTGAGTAGTTGGATAACTTGCCCAAGACCACACAAGTTAGTAGCTAAAGGAAGCAGGATTTGAACCTAGCTAGGTCCAACTCCAAAGCCTATGTTTGTTTACTCCATGTTACCCCATGATGGTGGCTGTGGTATTGTCATAGAAAAGGACATCACTCTCCTAGTTCATTTATAGTCTTATGAGTGAATGACTTCCCTTTTAGTCCATTAAGCCCTAGATAATATTCAAAAATTCACAATTAAGCTGTAAATTGTTCAACTTTCCTTTGTAACAGTAATGGAGAAAGTAATATTTTTGAATAACAGCATATTTAAATATACTCTCAAGTTTAGGACTTAAATATAGGACTTGAAATTCTCAAGTTTAGGACTTGAGAATATATTTAATATTCAGAGACTCTCAGTATTCAGAGTCCAGAGATGTGTCTCTGTGTCCTTGTAACACGTATTTGGCAATCTAATGGGAGAGACTCATGTTCAGGGGTCCCAGGCTCAGCAGTTAACTCCAGGAGAGGTGGGGGAAGCACACGTTTCTTTGGGAGAAGGGTGTGAGGATCACTCTCTCCAGTTATGCACAAAAATTGTATTTAACACTACTTTTGGTATATAGAAAATTTGTTTTAGGCTGGGGCAGCGGCTCACACCTGTAATCCCAGCACTTTGGGAGGCCGAGCCGGGTGGATCACGAGGTCAGGAGTTTGAGACCAGCCTGGCCAACATGTTGAAACCTCGTTTCTACTAAAAATACAAAAATTGGCCAGGCGTGGTGGTGCGCACATGTAATCCCAGCTACGGGGGAGGCTGAGGCAGGAGAATCACTTGAACCCTGGAGGCAGAGGTCGCAGTGAACCGAGATCGCACCATTGCACTCCAGCACTGGGCGACAGAGCAAGACTCCATCTCGGGGGGAAAAAAAAAAAAAAGAAAAATTTGTTTTAAAATTGATCTATTGTTAGGTGAAAATGCTATTTTATTATAGTCAGTAATGTTTGAAGAGGTTTAAAAAAAACCTACATTAAAAAAAAATTTGCTGCAGATATTGATGAATGTTCAGAACAACCCTCAGTGTGTGGGAGCCACGCAGTCTGCAATAATCACCCAGGAACCTTCCGCTGCGAGTGTGTGGAGGGCTACCAGTTTTCAGATGAGGGAACGTGTGTGGGTAAGTTCTCCAGGTAACTTCTCAAAATATTATTCACATGGTGTGCATTAGCTCTTGTGCAAAAGGTCTGGTTCCAGGTAAAAATGAGTCTGGTCAAGTTGGAAGGAGCTGGGAAGGGTAATTTACAAAGATGAATCAGACTTAGCCCCTGCCCTCCAACTATCTGAA